CGAACAAGTCTATGTTAGGGTCTGAAATTCTTATTTCTCACATAAAAAATAATGATTTTATAACTTTCATTGCCTTTTAAGAAGATATTTTATTGCAATGAATGAATGAACAACATTAGCAAATAGGGGGTTCTCGAAGCTTCGGTGAGCGAGCGAACCCCCTATTTGCTAATGTTGTTCATTCATTCATTGCAATAAAATATCTTCTTAAAAGGCAATGAAAGTTATAGAATCATTATTTTATGTGAGCAATAAGAATTTCAGACCCTAACATAGACTTGTTTGGGCTTGCCTTGAGGGGTGTGGTTGGGGGTCCGGGGGCGGAGCCCCCGGCCTAGCTGTTCGACTAAAAGAAACAGCAAAAAAGTGCAAAAATTTAAAAAGGCGCATCAGGCGCACGCCTAGGACCTGAGCAAGGCACATACCCCAAAATGCGCCTCGCCTGTGTGCCTAGGCACACCTCAAGCGCGCCTTTTAAATCACTGCCTACAACCATTGTATAGCTTCTCCAACCAAGAATATTGTAGCCTTCCTTTCCTCCCTAATCTTCAAAGAGCATTACCCTGCCTTCCATTATTCTCTGCAGCTCTCTTCAAAAATAGATTGCATTATAGGCTCTAGATAAACCAAGAACAGTACTTGCAATTTTCACACAAGAGAGAGAAATAAGTTGTAAAATTTAAATATATGTAAATGTGAAATAAATCAATTGGATGATCACCCATTTAAAATGTGGTTAAAGAAATATTTGGGTAATAACCTCTATGTACCTGAAGAAACTTAACTTTATAATACTGTCTCCATTCAAGCCCAGCAAAGAAATGAAAAGAGAAAGAAACCTTAGAGTGTGTCCTACCTGTACGATAGGTTGCAGAAGGGCTGGATCAAAATTCTTTGACGACTGCAAGAGCACCCATATTCTGAACACTTGATCTCGAAGTTCTAGCATGCTTTCCTGCTCACTACTACTCACAACATTAAGTCCAACTGCACTATTGTTGAACATTAAACTCCTTATAAAACTAGGGATGGAACTATATGTATCAATCATTGTGCCAAAAATAATAGCTTCAGCTACACGGATGGCCTCCTTAATAACTAAAGTTCTTAGCTCTTCACCCCCTGGGCCTAGTAATAGCTTCAAAACAGGTTGCAAGGCATCTTTAGCAGAAAAATCCCTGTCCTTCCTTCCCTGAACGATTAGGTTTTCGAGCCTATTCCACCTGCATTATGTTTCTTATTGGATTAGATTTTATTAACGGCAAAAAGGATTTCAGTATAGCATGAAAAAGTTACAACATGGAAGCCAAAAAAATGCCATAAACATTAATCTGCAATAGCCCCAAGACACCCTTCTTGCCCCCACCCCTCACTGTTGTGCTGAAAACAAAAACAGAAAATAAGAAAAATGAAAAAAAAGGCATTTGTTTAAATAGACTTGCCTAAATCTTCCATCCTTGAACAGCAACTCAATAAGAGCATCTCTAAGATATGGATTTGGATCAGTGAGTAGCCTTTTAGCAAAATATGGATATGAAGCAGCCAGCACCTTAAAGTCAGGGTCAGCATAAAGAGCTAAGCCTTCCAGTACTGTAAGTGACCTCAATATCAAGGCATAATATGCTGGGACTGCAAGCAATATGAAGAACTAAGCCATCTGACATCATTCTCCATGAAAACATAAACATGTGTGTGCACACATACAATGAAAAACTGTAGTTTCTTATATATTTGTATTACTGTCCCTTTCAGGTGTTTGAGGAAACCAAAGACTTAATAACTTGAACAAATTCCCGAGTCTCTTTGTCAACATATACTTCTAGTCTCTTGTTTGAGTGTTCTAGTATAGCCTCCAATTGAAAAAATAACCAACAGGATAAGCCCTGAAAGTCATTGTTAAGTCACAATTAAGACTCACCATTAAATGGATATTGATACAAAACAGCGCCCAAACCATCCACAATTGTTTTAAAGTTGAGTTCACTGACAGTAGAATTAAGTGCATCATCAAAGAAGTTTCGAAGTGCTGGAACAATTGGAGAAACATCTACCTCTGGAGATAAGAAATCCAAAGCATAGTAATCACGAGCCATAGCTTCATAATCCCGATTAACCATGTGAACAACATGACCAATAATAGCAAATCTTGCTTCTTCTGGAGTCTCACTCATCATCCCAAAATCAAGAAAAGCAAGTTTTCCCTCTGGAGTTGCGAGGAGATTACCAGGATGAGGATCTGCATGAAAATAACCATACTCAAGCAACTGCCTAAGGCTGCATTGGATACCTGTATTGACCAAATCCAAGACTTTTAAACCTTGCTTCTCAATGGCTTCTTGCTCATTTAATTTGACACCATCCACCCACTCCATTGTTAGTACTTTCCCACTGGTGTAATCCCAAAAGACATCTGGGACAAGCACATCCTCTTTGTCAGCATATAGCTTTTTAAACCTCCGTGCATTCTGACCCTCCTGCACAGACCTGACACAGTTAAAATCCAAAATAGCCAAAAGCCATTTCTACAAATATGGCAATCCAGTATATCTGCTAACTATATGAAACCAACGCTATAGACCACTGACAATATCAATGATATGACTAAATTGAGACACAATTGTTTTCCTTTATGGTCAAAACTCCAAAAATATAATGTAATAATTACATGCCCGAAGCTGAAGGATGATATCTTTTGTGGAGGGCACAAACCTGTACATAATTAAGCTCTTGATAAACTCTACATGCAAATTCATCGACAAGAGCAACAACATCACTGGATATTATGTCCACATATTTATTTATTAGAAACCCAAGGCCTCTTATCAAGTAAAAGTCCAACCCTATAGCTTCTTCAATACCAGGTCTCTGTACCTTCACAGCAACAACCTGTCCAGAATAATTCAGTTGAGCTTTATACACTTGGCCTAAACTGGCTGCTGCGATTGGAGAAGGAGATATGAACGAGTAAATGGATTCAAGTGGCATTCCCAACTCCTTTTCAATGCACGAAAATGCCTCTTCATTTGGAAATGTTGGCAGAGCATCCTGCTCAATAGAAGGTAGCAAGGAGGATAGGGGTTTAGCAATTGAGCTAATCATACATTTAATTGCAATAAACAGTATAATGTACATAAAAACTTCAAAAATTTTCACCAATTTTTACATAAGGGAAAATAATAAACTTCAGGTAGAACTCCAAAAGGAAAATAAAAATTCTTTTCATTTTAAAGTAATAAACTTAACTCCATGTGGAGAACAAATATAGATAGAAAGTGAACAAGTTGAGAATTAAAACCATAACGCAGACAAGCATAAATAATTGGATATGGGTGTATCACATGCCTCAGTGTAGAAAGGATATTTTTTGCATCTCCAAAGATGATATAATCAAAAGAACCAAAAATAACAAAGATCGTGTAAACAACCACTTATATCAAACTTGAAAATGCCAAGTTAATTTTCATTTTCATATAAATAGGAAATATAGGAGCTCCACCAGTTTGGTCTTGTCTTATACTGCCAGTCCCAAGTCCAAATAAAAGAGGGTTGTGCCAGGTTAGAAGCCGGTATTAAGACTTTTGCCAAACTCTTATGGTCAGGGATCCTAAATTATCCTTTTGTGCTCATGCTAGGTCATTCCTTGGAGATGAAATCAGAACAGTAAGTTCTTGAGAAATAATTCAGAAAAAAAAAGAAAGAAAGTTAGAAAAAGAAGTTCTGTTTACACAAGGAGAAAGAGGCTCAAAGAAAAATCTTGCTGGCAGGAGATGAGGATGCAACTTCCAGCAAGTTTCTTTGGTATGCAGTGCTTCAGCTTCTTGCAGTATTTACAGATAACTTTTTCTCATCTGCAGTTCTAGACTTTACTCCAGCATGAGCAAAGAGATTTATAGGCGCCTCCTGAAGCTGCAGTTTGTTGTTTGGACTGTTATATCAGTATATAGGCTGAACCAAGCTAGGTTTAGTGGCCAAATTTCAACAAATTTTTAGCCCAAACACTAAGAACCAGATTCTCTAGTTTTGGAGAATCAAACTCTCCTAGGATCGATCTAGCATTGGATTGAACCAGATTTGGCTTCAAATTATATTATGAGTGTACCTGATACAGAGACCAAAGAGTGCAGCTCCCAAAGTGGTGGTTTACGTCCAAAATTCAAGCACAAAACGTTCTCCCAACTGAACATGGTGCAATTGATCTGAAGAGGTTGATCTTGCAACTAGTCTCAACCAATTTGCCATTCCAACTTGCTTGGATATGTGCAGTTGTAACCACTTAATTTCTCTAATGTTTTGCAAAGGAAATACAGCAGAGAACAAGAGAATTGATGCTTCTCAAAGGGTAGGTCGAACTAAGGTTTTTTGGGTAATAAGAGAGTAGAGAACAAGGTGCAAGGAGGTATACTAGTGTATGTCGGCCTCTACCTCTTATTTCTTTTATAGACATCCCAATTCTAATGTAATTAAGACTATCCAAATCTGATTTCGTTAGGCCTCTAACTACATTAGTTATTATGGAAATCCATACCTACATTCAACCCAATACACATGACAATTTAAGCTGTCATGTGATTAATCTAACTAGTTAATGGGCTAAGGCCTATTATTTAAGTGGTTCATTAACATAACTGTTGCAGGCCTTATTGGGCTTGAAAAATGTTAGGCATGGGACATACAAAGGTCTTATATTAGTCCATATGGGTTCAAACCATGTAAGAAAGCACATGGGCTGAATTCACTGAGTAATTCAAGTGAACCCTTGAGCCATCGAATTAGGCTCAGTATGGGCACAACACTTAGGTTGAAGTGACCCTTGGTTTCAGCCATCCTATGAAGCCCAAGGATAATGGAATAACATAAGAAAAGCCCATTAGATTTCAGCCCTTTAATGGCCTTTTGCTCTTAACTTCTTAGCCCAAAATGTTCAAACACTGCTCATAGGGAAGGACCTCTTCCCTGTCTGTAATATGTAGTGTCACACCCTTTGCTCAGATGGATCTCAAGATTAAAACCTTTTTCAAAAAATAATATATTATAAATATAAATGCAATTTGCAAAAATGATTTGAAAAACAAGTTGAAATCCACTACCAACAGTTTTAGGTTTCCGTTAGAGAGAGTATTAACCCTGATATTCTCTTTGTCTAACAAAGGGCTGATCCTATCACAATGATCACCCATTAAGGTAGTATTTCGAACTGCTCCAACATACCCGGGTATTTGACCCTAAGAGGATCTCACTGGTTGGAATATCAAAAGCAGTCTGATCCAGAACCTAGTGCAATATCATTATCAAGTCTAGGGTTAAGTGCAACTTCCAATTTTGCTCATCTGCCTCCAAGGTCCAAAGCACAACTAGAAATTGGTCCATGTTCAATGTTTCTTATAAACACCCATAAATTGTACTTAGGGTCTAACCCTAACAACTGGGACAAGTTGTTCCACCATTTAAGGAGTACATCAATATCAACCTTATTAGGATAAACTCCCCAAATTTATCCAATGGCTGAGAATATTTTAACCAACATAAGTCTCATGAATGTCCAATTTAAGGGGTATTTCACATAAAACTACCAATCACAAACATGAAACAATAATGAACTGATTTTATTAATTCATAATTCTTAGTATACATCAATCTGATTGAAGCTACGGGTATAAACTGTCTAACACACCTTTTGTTTGCTCTCCCCACTACTAACCGTCACATGGCCTTGAAAGAGAATTACTTTGTCTTTTTCTAGTATATTTTGTCTAATGATATCAACCTCCAGATTGAGGCTGATTAGGAACTCAAACACTCTACTCCTCTCAACCAACTTCCTATAAGTTTCTGCATCCTTAGTACTTTCCCACATAATAATCTCCAATAGATCTATTTTTTGCTACAAGCTGTGAATAGTATTCAGGCAATGGCTTCTCCCCCTGTCATAAACTATTCACATCATTCTTCAATTGATACACCTTGGCTACATTCATTTTCTAGGAGTACATTTCAGCAATATTGTTCTAGATTTCCTTGGTTAAATCCATCCATAAATAGTTCTTGCTGATGTGTGGTAGCATGGAGTTCACCAACCATCCAATAACTATATAATTCTCCTACATCCACTTCTCGTAGGCAGAAGCAGTCTCTGTTGGCTTCTTCTTACGACCTTTAAGATAGCCCAACTTCCCCTTGCTGCAAACATGGATGCGAATGGATAGTGACTGGGCAAGATAATTAGTTCCATCTAGTTTGATTGTCGTTACAACATTCAATAGGTTATCAACGGACCCTGGACCAATTCCAAATTCTGAAATCTACTTCATCTCACTTCCAAATTGTACCATTCAAACTAAAACTCAATTTAATACCTCCAAAAATAAGAAGCAATCAAAACAGATCCCAAACAGCAGTCCCTTAGTCGGAAACTTGACACTAAACTTGAAACAAAGGTTCTATCCACTTAAGCTATTAGGAGTAAAGGAGAGAAAAAGCTTCCACTCCTAGCAGCCTTCCTGAAAATCTGTTCCAAGGTTGCCGCACCCTAAAGCCAATAACAAAGGTCTTCCAAACCATCAAGCGCCAGATAAAAAAAGTCACTATACTCCTTACCTCAAGCCAAGAAAAAAACTATTATAGTTATTCTAGATTTTGGGAAGAAATCTCCAAAACACTTTCTAGGCCTCTTTAACCAACTTTGAAATCTCCAAAAGCCTTTTAGTAATTGGGCAACACCAATCAAAGATGATCAACACCTCAAACCTCCATACACTCTGCTGAGCCTCGAGTATAGGTTCAGAGAAAAGGAAGGAGAAAGAAAATCACTACTCTAATACCAAGATGAAATTAGAACAATAGATTTTTTTAGAATTAATTCAGAAAAAAAGAAAGAAAATTGAATGTTCTCTTTTTATTGATAAGTAATAAAGTAATTTATTAAGAATAATTAAGATGAACCAACATAAGGTACAAAATAGAGTTCCCACAGAGAGGCGTGAGGTGTTGCCTAAAAAAAAGCAAAATTACAACTAAGCCCAAAATGATTGATTCCTATGCACCCCTTGCTTGGCTGAAAGGTTGGCATCCCATTAGCTGATCTCCTTTCCCACTGGACTCTTATTGTTAAATTGGAGGTTAGCCACTTAAATCTTCTCATCGCCCCCTATAAGACCATGCTACAATTTAGAGTATTGAGAATATTGGGTGTGTTACTGTTCACACCTAGAAAACTTACACTTAACATATTGTGCAAAATTGCAAAGGGGCCCTTGAATAGGCGTTCTAATACAAAAAGCATAGAAGGACAAAAATTCCCTTACACTCCCCCTCAAGTTGAGCATAGATGTTTGTAATGCCTAGCTTGTTCAAATTGTTGTTAAGATTGATTTGGGGACACCTTTAGTAAGACAATCACCCAATTGATCTTCAGACCTCACAAAAGGTAAACAAATATCTCCACTAGCAACTCTTTCTCTAATGAAGTGTCAATTAACCTCTATATGCTTTGTATGATCATGTTGAACAGGATTGTGGGCTATGTTTATGGAAGCTTGATTGTCACAATATAATATCAATGGAGTATCAATTCAGAAACCCCATGAGCCATAGCTCTATACTCTGCCTCTGCACTAGTTTGAGCCACAACTGGTTATTTCTTACTTTTCCAAGATACACCATTACCACCACCAAGATACAATAGTTAGAAGTAGACCACTTATCGTCAATAGAACCTACCTAGTCAGCATCACAATAGGCCTATACCTTCAAATGCCAATGTTCCGAATACAACATTCCTTTTATTGGACACCCCTTCAAATAGGCAAGTATTCTATTCACAACTTGCATTTGAAATGATCTAGGCTTATGCATATATTGGTTGACCACATTTACAACATATGATATATTAGGTCTAGTCAGACACAAGTAGAGAAGGCGACTAACAAGTCTTTGATACACGACTTTGTTAGGAAGGACATCTCTATCATCAACACCCAACTTATGATTGGGATCAATCAGAGTTTCAGCTGGTTTACAATCCAATTTTCCTACCTCTTGAAGCAGATCAAGGACATATTTCCTCTAAGAAATATAAATGCCCCTCTTTGACCTTTCGACCTCAATCCCTAGGAAATATCGATGATTTCCAAGGTCCTTAATTTCAAATATAGTAGCAAGAAAATACTTCAGTTCAACAATTCCAGAGATATCCTCCCCTATGATAACAATATCATCGACATGTACTATTAACATAGTCACTTTTCCATTTACTCTCCTGATAAACAAGGTATGGTCATCTTGAGATTGTGAGAAGCCAATTTCCAAGACAGCTTTTCTAAATCTGTCAAACCAACCTCTATGGGACTATTTAAGGCCATAAAGGGATTTTTTTCAAACAGTAAACCTTTCCTTCACTCCTAGGGATGTTCACTTTTGGAGGAAGTTCTATGTAAACTTCTTCTTGAAGGTTACCATTAAGGGAGGCATTCTTAACATCCATTTGATACAAGGGCCAAGAATAGTGGGTAGCAAGAGACATGATAACTCGGATTGAGTTCATCTTGGCTACTGGGACAAAGGTTTCTTGGTAATCATCTTTTGCCACAAGTTGAGCTTTATACCTTTCAATTGAGCCATCGACTTTATGCTTCACTTTGTAAACCCACTTACATCTAATAGGAACTTTGCCTTCTGAGAGAAAAATGATTTTCAATGTCTGGTTTTTTTCCAAGTGCCTCCATTTCCTAGTTCATAGAATCCTTCCAACGAGGGAACTGCATTGCCTCAGTAACATTGCGAGGGATAAAAACAAAAGCAATGGAAGAGAGGTATGCACAATAAGAGGGTGATAAGGTATCATATTTGAGATAAGATATTTAGCAAATGTCCTTTTTGCTTTACAAATTGCAATAGGGAGGTCAATGTTAGAACCCACACTAGGAAGCTCAATAATAGATTCAACACAAGCATCAGAAATAGGAAGAGGTTCAGAACCCAAATTACCTGAGTTCGGGAAATCATATTATAATTGTCATAATTGTTAGAAATAGTTAACAAGGGCAATATTGTCTTTTTCATGCTATTCTTTCTCTCTTATATCTGCTATATTTTTCCTAAGGGTATTATAGTCATTTCAGCCTTAGTAGAATGTTAATACAACTTGGGTCGACAATACGGAGAAGTGAACAGATTTCTCCTTTCTAGTCTTCCCTCTTTTCTTCTCCTTTTCTTCTCTTTCCCTTCCCTTTCTCTTCCTATCTTCTTCTCTTTCTTTCTTCTATCATTTTCATCACCTTTTCTTACTTTATTAAAGTTGGAACATGGTATCAGAGCCTTGAGGTCGACTGTATCATTCACGACACTGTTCACGTCTCAACTTTTTGTGCCCTAAGAATAGAGAATATTCTCTTTTCTTTGTTGGAAAGGAAAAGGACTTAAGAGGACTGATCACCCACTTGGAAAAGAGGCTTTAATGCCTCAAGTTGTACTGTTGTGTGAGTTGGTGGTGTTTTTATAAAAGCCCTCTATTCGGCAGTTTGAAGAGGACAGCTTTGTGATGTTTCGAGTTGTGAGGTAGGTGCTCCTCAATGTGTGGTGATTTTGTAGTGGTTTATGTTGTGGTGACACCTTGTGGTAAGTATGCAATCTTTCTCAAGTGTTTCTAAAGTAGAGGGCTGATGATTCTTGGTGTTTTTCCTAAAGAAAAAGGTGTGTTACAGTAGTTGCATACCAGCTGTTTGACAGTTTGCCTAGGTGACAAATCACTGATCTATTCTCACTCATGGCTTCATCAAATGGTAGCAATAAACCTATAGTAGTTGTACAATCAGATTTCATGACTTCTCCAATAAGACAAAGGTGTGTTATATCCCATGAAAAGTTGAGAGATTTGTCCTCTACTGGCCAATCTATCCAAGATCAGGCTAGATTATCAACTATGCCCTCTAACTCTTGCATTTCTCCAATAAGACAAAATATGCAGTGGTAGAAGCTTTTATCCAACAAGTTTTAGGGCATAGCATAGCAAAGAAAAACAATTACAATATTAAGAGATCGAGGACCATGAAAAAGGCACAGAAGTATTTGGAAAGGGAGATCTAACCTGTAATTCAGAGAGCTCCTCTAGGTACTCAGGCGGGCAGATATCGGGTCTAGTTGACAAGCCCTGACCAACTTTGACAAAAGTCGCGCCCAATCTCGTGAAAATCCTTTTCAGCTCCGCAGCTCGCATACGCTTGTTCCGTTCGAGCTGCCCATTCCTTTCATCCAGCAACAGTTTGAAGGCGAAGGTACCCAGGCTTACCAAAATCTCCAGTGTCCTCCGCAAAGCCTGACAAAGAAATTGGCACAGACACAACAAAGATCATCTTGCGTTGCGTCAATCTTGCACGGTTTGTGTAATAAAATTCCAACGAAAAACAAAATGACAGAATTGGTAGAGGGATATTATTGATAATACCTTGATGGGGCGAGAACCGTATTTTTGGGCAAGAAGTTCAGGGCTATAGACGGAAGAATTGGCTGCGCGGGCCATGGCCCGGGCCTCGGCTTGCATGTCGTTGGCACGAACCTTACTGGAAGAAGACGAGAGAGAGCCATTCCCTTCCAATATCTGAATGACATAATTGCCCCCTCTGTCTCCCACCGCTTGAACCGGCCTAGCCTCCACCAGTGCCGACTGGGGTGGGACTCTGGCTTTGAGCTTATATGGACATCTTGACCTCGAAACCGCCGCGGTCCCCAATGGCGGCGACGTTGGAAGAAAACCAACGGATGATAACGACGATGATAATGGTAGAGGAAGAACTATCATCGCCCGAACGGTACTGGTAAACACCGACCTGCGAAACTGGAAGGGCTGAGTGCAAGGAGAAGGAAAAAACAGTTATGTTTTTGGACGAGGACGAAAAACAGTTTGAAAGACTGCCTACCAAAAAAAGGGAAAAAATAAAAAGAACAGTTTGCAATGAGTTCGTTTGCAAGACCACAGACTGCGGAATCTTGCTCTCACTCGGGGGAATCACAAAAATGACGATATAATGGCACACGCCACACTTCAGATAAAATTTTAAAATACATGATTATTTTTTCAAGGCAAAATAATACATAGTTTTTTTTGGGTGGGGCAGAAAAATACATAGTTATTAATTACATAACGCATTTCATCGGTTCATCCAAAGCCACGTATTAAAATGTAAGGAGTAAATTTCAAAGACCACTGGTAGCTCCCCGTAAGATGCGTGGCTTTGTTAAAAGGAAATTCAAATAAAAGAAGTCCTATATCTCATAAATTGTGTCGTTTGCGCATTATATCGAGAGTGGCCAAATTGATCAGGTCGGGCGCGTTTAGCAGTCAGGTAGTCGATTGCCTTATCTCAGAGATCTCACTTTATCTATACGTTGATTGTTGGATTTGAGCTTCTAGGGTCGTATAATCGGTCGGGGACTTAATTCGAATGCCACTGGACAGAATTATTAATTTTAGGGGAATCTAGCTCCCCCTCATAAATCGAAATATGGAAAAGAAACGTACGGAAATCGAAACCTATGCCAATCCCACCCAACAAATATGAAATTTGTTTCAGTTCCTCCCCCTTCATCATATTATTGTCTTACCCATTATACCCTCCACCCCAACGGCATTTTTCAACGTCTTCTTCCTCATTTCAAACCAACGATTCTCAAATCCCTTAATTACAGATCGCCGGAGCTCTACAACAGCGTCTTCCCATTGTCTTCTTCCTCATTTTGAACCTAAGACATTCCCACTGTTTATCAGATTCGTTAATCACAGATCATCGGAGCTCTACAGCAATGTCTTTTCATCGTCTTCCACCTCATTTTGAACCTACAACATCCCTGTCATTTCTCAGACCCATCAATCACAGATCACCGATCGCCCATCGGCCCGACGATCTGGTCTGACAGTGGAAAACGGTGGTTCTGCAAAGCACTGTTTCTCACCGTTGGCCTTCCCCGTTGGTTTGGGGTGTCTCTACCTCCTCTAGTGACGTCTAGAGGACCTATCTCCACCCCGTGGATGTGGTTCCGCCGCCCATCTATCCTCGCGCCCCCCTCTAGGACCGCTTTTGGGAAATGACAAAATCGGCCAGAGGCCGCTCCGGCGGGTGCGACGGGGTGTGATGGCCACCAAACCCACTCCGCCCTACTGCCACTCACCCACCGAGCAGCCCAACACCTTCCGTTCTCCCATCGGCCCGACGATGGGAAATGGTGGTTCTACAAAAGCACCATTTTCCCACCATCGGCCTTCCCCGTTGGCCTGGGGCGTCTCCGCCTCACTTGAGGATGTCTAGGGGACCTCTCCCCACCTAGTGGAGGTGGTTCCGCCACCCGTCTACCCCCGCGCCCTACCCTTTGGGACCACTTCTAGGAAATGGCAGAATCACCCGAAGGTTGCTCCGGTAGGTACGGAGGGGTGCGATGGCCACCAAACCCACTCTCCCTATAGCCACTCACCCACCAAGCATCCCGACACCGTTCGATCGCCCATCATCCCAATGGTCTAGGCCGACGGTGGAAAATGGTGGTTTTGCACTATTGACCTTCCCTGTTGGCTCGGGGTTTCTCCGCCTCCTCTAGAGACGTCTAGGGGACCTCTCTCCACCCCATGGAGGTGGTTCTGCCACTCGTCTACCCTCGCGCTCCCCCTCTAGGACCGCTTTTGGAAAATGGCAGAATTGCCCGGAGGCCGCTCCGGTGGGTGCAGATGGGTGCGATGGCCACCAAACCCACTCCGCCCTACTACCACTCACCCATCGAGCATCCCGACACCTTCTGATCGCCCATTGGTCCAATGGCCCAGGCTGACAGTGGGAAATAGTGGTTCTACAAAAGCACCGTTTCCTACCATCGGCCTTCCCCGTTGGCCCGGGGCATCTCTGCCTCATATGGGGACAACTAGGGGACCTCTCCCCACCCCGTAGAGGTGGTGTGCGCCTCCCTCTGGGACCGCTTCTAGGAAATGGCAGAATCACCCAGAGGCCATTCTGGCAGGTGTGGAGGGGTGCAATGGCCACCAAACCCACTCCGCTCTACTACCACTCACCCACCGAGCATTCTGGCACCTTCCGATCGCCCATCGGCCAAACGGCCCAGGCCAACGGTGGGAAACAGTGGTTCTGCAAAAGCACTGTTTCCCACCATCGGCCTTCACCGTCGGCCCGGGGCATCTTCACCTCCTCTGGGGACGTCCAGGGGACCTCTCCCCACCCCATGGAGGTGGTTCCACCACCCCTCTACCCCCGCACCCCCCTCAGAGACCGCTTCTTGGAAATGGCAGAATCACCGAGAGGCCATTCCAGCGGGTGCGGAGGGGTGCGATGGCCACCAAACCCACTTCGTTCTACTACCACTCACCCATCAAGCATCTCAACACCTTCCAATCGCCCATTGGGCCGACGGTGGGAAACAGTGGTTCTGCAAAAGCACCGCTTCCCACCGTCGGCCTTCCCCATTGGCCCGGGGAGTCTCCGCCTCATTTGGGGACGTCCAGGGGACCTCTCCCCACTCCATGGAGGTGGTTCTGGCGCCCGTCTACCCCACGGCCCCCCTCTGGGACCACTTCCCGGAAAAGGTAGAATTGCCCGGAGGCCGCTCCTACGGGTGCAAAGGGGTGTGATGGCCACCCGCTGGTCACTCCTAATTGTTACTTCACATTGCTTTGTGACGCTACATTTTGAGCAAAAATTTGATCACAAGTCACTCAACACACACAATTGGACAACATTACTTTGGAGACAAGGTTTCACTAGGCAATATAAAAAAATTGCTTTTTGTATTACTTTAAGCCATTCATCTGTAAATTTACGTATTTTAGAGCTGATCAATCGTTAGCTCTGTACAAAAATTTAAATTGTTAATATATGCTCAAACTAGTAAAGTGAGAGAAAGAAAAAATAAAATGGTTTCCAATCATCTTCATAATATCTACAATTTGTGGGATATGGTTCCAAATGATTTGAGCCCTATCTGCCACTTAATAACATCGATATTTCCCTACAACAAACATACTACATGTTAGTACTAACATGAGACATTTAGGTATGTGCTACCAAACGAAATTCACATGTACTCACTAGATCAAAGTCAAAATCTGAACCTCGGGCAATGCGATCATGTACTTCATAACAACCACCCCATACTTTCTACCACTGCACAAAAGATACATCACTTTTTGACTCAATAACTACCATACAAGTACCGTACACCTAAACGTTGAACATGCAACACATACCCAATCTGTTGGGGGGCTGACTCTATGAATTCAAATGGCCAACCGATGATCCCGAGAACAAATGGTGCCAGTTTTTCTCTTAAACTTATTTGTTGCTAGATAATGTAAAATTGAATAGACACATAAGTAATCTAACTCATTATCTTATACCCAATTAGTAGTGTAAAAATAAACTCAATATACATACCATGGATCTTGCATAAGCGTCGTGGAGGCTGCTATTTAAGGAACTATAGGCTTCGATTTTTTGGTCCAACATATTCACCACTAGTAGCTGCTAGTGTGAGCCATTGGATAAAGGTATTAAAACCTTATTGCACGTCAATATTTCATTGGGCTTCAACCACTGATACAGAACATTGTGGCGGACATCCGATAAATACAATTGCATTACAAACAAATAGCATTAGGATTATATCACAAAATGCATCACGAGTATATGGATTTTAGTCACATTGCAATCAACAACCCATACTAGTGTCATCGAAGACACATAGCATATCTTGCTGGTGTTGGTGTTTCTTGCCATCAGTAAAAACCCATACGCATCAATGACCTACAAAACCACACATGTCAAATCAGCCACATTGCCAATTAGCCTTATACGACCTGCAACACTCCCCTAAACCAAACTAATACCTCATCGTACTCCCATGTTTTCGGGTCAAAGAGAGTTAACAGACAATCCGGAGTAAAAAATACAACCTCATTACACAAGAAAAAAATAATGATACAAACAAAATCTAGTTTAAAGCAAATCACTTAAATAGACACAATCTACTATACAGTCATGTGCACTTGCCCTCTCTTGTGGTTCTTCAAGAACTGCTTCACAACTTCTAAGTCCTCCTTTGGGACCAAGTCCTTCATCTTAAAAGAATTCCACAATAATTGTGCATCCACCGACTACAACAAATATTCCACTAGTCACTAAACTACTAAGAAAAGCAAATCAAACCAAAACAACCCTACAAACAACATCGAGACAACACCAACAATTATCACTTCACCTTCCCCTTCACTTCTCTTTTGGACCCTACAGCAATGGAAAATTCTTTCGCTACCTGCCCTTGCTGCCCAAGAGCTAGGTAGGGCGACACCACCGTGCTACTTTTCTTTCACTCTCTCCTTGCCCAGGGAAACTTTTGTTTGTAAGTTTCGGCAATGGAGGGCGAGACATTAACAATCTCGCAGGATGGGGCTACAACACTAGTCCTTTTAGGAGATTGCTCTACCCCATGGTGCTACATGCAACTCCAACAGGCAAGTCTGCACCATAATCATCATCGTCTAGCACGTGGTTTTCCAAACCTGCTTGTCCCTCACTAAATGGTGTTGCATCAGGGTTCAACCCATTATTTCTCATCATTTTACGAAGCCTATTAACTTCATCACAAAGTGCTTTGTTCTGCTTTCTTGTCTAGGAATACTCTTTGTTCTCCGTACATAGAATTTGATATTCCATAGATTCTACACAAGATTTGCAAAATTCCTGAAAAATCAAGTTAGAAGCAATTTAATAAATCTCAACATTAGCAGTAAGTCAACTTGTATATAACTCAAAACATGTATGCTGTGCTAATCATACCTTTTGCCTAGGCCAACACCACTCATAACTAGCATCCTCTCCATTATAAAAATGTTCCCCACACACACCATGGCCCCCTCGGTCCACAAACTGCATATGAACACCAAAGGTTAATAACTACCATGCACTTAGATCACATAAAGGACTCCACTATAAAGAAAAATATAATATCATTAATTCAATTTACACAACCCTCTGATCGAACATCCACTAAGGCCATCTCCTCGCTGTAGGGTTCAAAACCTCAATAACCTGTAATAAGTTTACAAATCCATATGAGATCTTCAATTTCAACCAAAACTAAATAAATAAAACTACGAACAACATAAGTAGAGGAATAGAAGTGAGAACCATTTTTAGCCTAGCTTTCTTTAACAAATCAGCCATCTTCAACTTCCACTGATACCCCATATTCCCCTACTTAAACAAACGAGGACTGGCATCAGGAACCTGAAGGACTGAATAGCATTGTGTGCTCGTATAGCCATGCCTACAAAAAAGAAATTAGCCAATAAGCGATCATCAATTGAATGCGGATAACATAAAGAATAAATAAAACAACATGAATCTTGAT